TCATGAAGGAGCAAAAGTATTGGTAGAGGCACTTTATATAAATAACACATTAACTTCCTTGGATTTTAGTAGTAATACTCTTGACCCTGAAGGAGCAAAAATTTTCGCAGAAGCACTTTGCAAAAACATTAATTTGACCCATTTGAACCTCGGTTTTAATCAATTTAGTCTTGAGGAAGGAAAAGCGTTAGCAAGTGCACTTTGCAAGAATAATATTTTGACATCTTTAGAACTTCACAATAATCGATTCGGATCTGAAGAGGGAAAAGCATTTGCCGAAACTTTTTGCAAAAATAACACTATACAGTACAGTATTCTGATCTACATTTGTAATTCTAATGAAATAATCTGTGCACCCGGTGATGGAAATTCATTATAATATAAAGTCATGTCTGACTGACATTGGAAGGTGCAGAACATCTATCAACTGAAAGTTCACTTCTTTTACCTTTTGTTAGAGATACCGAATCAACATGTTGAGTTTGCATTTCAAAATTTGACGTGTATAACTAATCGATTTGGCTTAATAGTGTGTGATGAAAAATTAAACCTATTATTTTGGAGATTGTTTTGAAGCTTAGGTATGTTGTGGCTTCCTTATGTGAAGGTGGTGATTTATGAAGTGTGTAATGATGTTTAAGTAGCTAAAACAAAAAATTCTATCCAAATACTGTAATTATTTATTACGTAAAAAGTTAAATCACTCTATGCGACAATTTTCATATTGTTAGTCATAAGTATATACTGTATAATCAAATTTATTTCATCACATAGTTTTGTCAAGCAATTATAATTTTAATAGGTCATTTTTAGTTCTAATTATGTCAGATTAAAATTTGGATCTTACATCATGTTAAATAATGCGATCGTAATGTTAAGCTTAATGTTAAGTATGTTTATATTATTTATTTACAAATTAACGCATAATTTATAATGAAGTAATTAATTTACTAAAATTATATAAATGTTTTTTTTTCTTTCTTTTTATAATTAATTTCGTGATAAATTTATCTTCAATATAGATTGATTCACAATTGTGTGTTTTGATTGATTATAGAAAAGACAATAACAATGAATATCATGAACTTGTTTGTAACCAGAAAGGTATATTCTGGAAAGGAATGGTAAGCAAAATTAATATTGAATTTGGCACTAGTTATACAGGCCAACAGTGTAAAGAAAAGTTTAGTGGACTATTAAAAGATTACAAGATAATTAATTAATTTGGTATAAAAAAAAATATTTTTTTAATAATTTTTTTTATTATAGAAAATGAAATTGTATATTGAAGAAAATGCAAATGGTAAAAAAACAAGAAATAGAATAAAGTATTATGAAGAATTTGCTATACAATTTTGGTTAAAACCTGGTAAATATTAATAATTATTATATTAATATTATTTTTAAAATAAATTTATTTATTTATTTAAACTAAATAGATTTTAATTTTAGTAATCATGTATGATCTAATTAGAATGCAAAATATTGCAAATCATGATAACCAAGACTCT